GGACCCCAACGAAGCCTTCAGGGTGATCTACAGGGTCCCACCAAACTACCCTGTCATTGGGTCAGCAACTGCTAGCAACGGCAGAAGCAACTGCTATCCGGTTGAGGAAGCTGATTCTGTGTGCGCAAAAGAGCCTGCTGCAAGCCCCAAACTTAGCATGGCCAACGGCCACCTAGCTACCGGCATTTTTCCGAACCTCCTCTCTCCCTCCCCCCTCCCTAATTACCGCTTAATTAGCCGTTTGTTACTACCCCAATCCCCTCCTCTATCCCCTGGACTAATTTGCTTTTAACTCTGAACATAATTTTAACCTTTTACACTTAACCCCCCCTCCCATATAAATCTGGCTTAGTCAGATAAATCTGAGCTTATTTATTTTGAGGAGCATCTCAACAGCGAATTACTTTTGAAGATAATGGGGCCAGAAAGGCAAGGGTTTCTTTGGTAGCGACGAATGTTCTTATTTACATTTACATGCCTACTCAATGAATTTCTGTTAGGGTTAGGGTAAGGGTTAGGGCGGGATAGAGATATCGTATGTAAAAAGGCCCAAGTTTCTGTCTTACGGGAAGCGTGGGAGTAGACATGTAAATATAAATAAGAACATTCGTTGCTACCAAGGAAACCCTTGCCGCCAGAAAATCTAATCATGCTGAGAAAAATTAAAATGCAAATTGCGCAAAGAGAAACCTATTTGCTAAGTTGAACGGTGGTTCCAAGAAGACGATATATGTTTGAAGGAAAATATTTTCGTTGATTTCTGAAAGCCTGTAGTGATCCTGCAACACCTTACAACTCCCACGCCAAGCCAAGCATAAAGTCACGTGACCGCAGTCGCATAGTGCCTTTGGGAAAGCCAATCACAGGTGCCGCAAACCACGCTAACGCCCAAGCTCTCAAAGTGTCTGGTATGTGCCTAGACATCAACATCTGCCTGCCCCAATCCGGTCTGGCTAATCACCTCCCTGAGGCTGACTCACACAAGACCTCACTGTGATGACCGCTTCGCTAAGGCACTTCGGACGCGGCCCTGCTCGCGCCTGGACATACGCTCGTCTGACGGTCAACTTTATCCTACCTATTCCCTACTCCCTCCGTACAGAATTCACTATTTCTTTTATATGGCGTCTTACTTCTTATTTTCTTACATGGAACCGGGCCTAAAGATCGCAGTGGTAGGGGTTTTCTCCACTAAATTAAACTCAAATGCGAATAATTTTGAAATATGATAGGACTGGGACGTTCAATCGACTGAAGCAACCGAGACCCCATTTGTAGGAAGCGAGATCTGTTTGCTAAGTTGAAAGCCGATTTCGTGAAAAGTATAATTATTTAAACGGACATATTTGCGCTGACGTCTGGACACCCCACACTTGTTGTTTAAACATTTGTTACTACCACTCTTCCGTATAATACTATTCAGATCTGATGATGAATAATAATCGGACATTACTAGACGCAGTCAACACTAAAACTGGCTTAACCAGTGGCTACTGCTGCCTGAGACGGCAACTTAGGGGTTCTGTGCACAATAAGCCCCGCATGTTAGTGATTTCTGTATTTTCCACCAAACTCGGAATTTAGCCTGATGATTATAGAAAGTTAAGTACTCTTACTACTAAGATACTACATTCTGACATGCTAATCATCGTTGGATTGAAAAAAGCCAGCCCACACCCGTTGAAACTAAACAAAAAATGTTTGGATCCGTCTAAGAAAAAAAACGAATTGGTTTCGGAACATTATTCTCCGCCTGAACGCAAGTATTAAACAGGCTTAAAAAGTCTGGATCGACACTGGTTGTCAAGAGGAAGATGCGCCCAATGTATCAGACTTCGTTGCAGGATAAAAGAATAGGCCGAAATCTCCGGCCCAGATACTCCACGATCATCTGACGTGGAAAAATGTCATAGGACAACACTGTTCACCATTAAGGTCGAACTGACCGAAATCGGGTAAAGTGCCAGCAGAATAGCATCTTGATGTTACGGATAGTGAGGGTAATGAGTGGAAATTGCAGAATATTCTGTTACCTCGTGAACCGTTTTTATCAAGTTTACTCTGTTTGGAAAAAGCGATGCACGGTGGTTTTTTGACTATGATTTATATGACAGCAGCCTGTTGATACGCTCAAGCCTGCCACGCCACTAATTCGTCAAAACAGGACCACATTTGCGCCAATGGCCGCCGCTGAAACAGTCACGTGAAACGTGGCCGGAAAAATCGATATTCATTCGAACTTCGCATACATGTGATAAGAAGTGGGCAGAAGGCGTGCAGATTTTCAGCCGACAGAATGGGCCGCGAAGAATGGAACAACGTGCTCAAAGGCAAAGTCATGGAGTTTAGGGTAGGAATTGCAAAACAACCAAGGGACTAACTTACTTCATCACTAACAGGGCATTACAACGAACCCCCATCAGGCTGCCCAAGACCGCGAACAACTACTCCATGATCGCAGAGTTGAGAAAGCTGAACATGACCGCATGATCTGGGAGGGTCTCCGTTCTACAGAGAGCGTACAACCCTATATAACACGGAGGATGCTCGAAGCCCAAAGCCAAGACTGTAAGCTGTTGAATGAAATGAAACAGGTATGCTACGCCCTACTGCCTGTCAAAAAGACTCACGCATAGAAAGAAATCAGTGAAATCATGATCAAGAAAAATGCAGAAATTGAACAGAAACTGGGTTTCTTTCTGGACAGGCAGCATTTTGAGGAGGAAAGTCGGGCCAAAAGAACAGTAGCTCTCCGTCAGAACGAGTAAGTCAGCAAAAAGGACGTATCAGCGTTGTGGTGAGTGACCGAAATTCTAGCCACATAACGTGTGCACCGAAACTTTAGGAGACGTTACATTGGCCGTCATTATATGTGCCCTTTCGCAATACCCAACATATAAACGCTTCTATGCAGTTTGGGCTCGTTAATTATCAAAGTGAAGCGGTGTAGGTTATAAATGTGTGGCGTCATTGATATTTACCCATCTACCAGTGTTTCTTGCATTTATAACGAGGACTGCTATTTCTGTCTAACTGCCTTCATACTTTCGCACTTATTTTCTTACTTTTTGTCGGTCTGACGCGCTACAGGTTTCCTCAAAAATTGAGAGGGACTCAGGAATGATCAGAAAAATTGCCAGCTCAGTAGACCCTCCAAATGGCCTGCAGTTAGTAACGGGGGTAGCGACGTCCAATGGTGAACCTTTATCAGCGTTATGATTGGTCTCTCAACCAACTAATCTCTGTGAAGGTGTATTTTGCGCAGCCAATCGAACTCTCACTGCTGGCAAACAACGCCCAAGAATCTTTATCGTGGACATGCCATTGGCTTGAGGATTTTGCTCTGGGAAAAGGCAAAAATTCACAATTTTCGGACGAGGGAGTGAAGGACGATGCGTGACAAACCGCCAACGCAAATATGCGTTGAAAAACCATAAGCACATCATACAATGTGTGGCGTAATCAATACAGTTTAAGGCATGTGCTGGATTAAAACCTATCACGCGACAAGACTAGCCACTGGTCTCCCCTGGCCACGTGTAAAGCCATGGTACATTTAAAGGCATAAGAGTTGACTAGAGTCGAGAATACAGCGACGATAAGCGCCCACTATCTGTTGGGTCGGATGCGGAAACTAGGTCTTCATTAGATTTGCCGTTTCCACCGTCAAGGTTAGGCAGAATACCCTTGCAGGCACATAAAGCACTGCTTCAGGTACTTATGACCTCATCCACAAACTAAGCCGCTGAAAATAATCATACATTTAGATGTCAAAGCTATTCGTGTTTCTTTGTCGTTAGCCCAGAACGGTACCGAACCAGGCCGCCATCCCAGGTTCCTCAATAAAGTTAGAGTGTAGCGTCTAAGTAGTGAGTGTAGTCAGATCATAACATTCATCAGGCCAAATCCCGGTTTAAAGTAACGAAACAGAAGGCATCCGTGGGAGGCATTTATTGTGTACAGAACCCAGAGTTGCTGTTTGAGGCAGCAGGGGTCACTGGCAAAGTCAGGACTAGCGTTGACTGCGTCTAGTCATGTCTGAGC